AGTCTGATGTGCATTAAGACTCATATGTACAATATGAAAAAAAAATGGAACTGTTGTTATTTGATTCATCAAACACAGCTGGCATGTAAGTGTACGAAGTAATGAGTTACCCACAGTTGACATGTAAATGTACAAAGTAATGAGTTACCTGTAGTGGAGCTCTTGTCACAGCAAGATGAATCCTTCGGTTGTACCTCCAGAACACCTTCATTCTCACAGCAGCACTGAGTCCTGTTGTCATACTGGTTGTGCCCGCAGCACCGGTGGAAACTGGAACTTCTCACCAGAATCTTCTTTTTATCACTTGCTCCGCAACACAATTGCTTGTCCTCGGCAAAAGCCTCTGTGGAGAATACCATGGAGATTCTTAACTCTTTGGCCTCAACCATAACTAAGCTGATAAGCCTCTGCGACATTCTGCCGATATTTATTAGATTTTTTCCACTTGTATATTTGTTCTACTGAAGAACGAGGGATCCTTCTACATAACATTACCGTATGTTCAAATGAACATCTAGAACCACAAATCCATTTTCTTTTGTTTCCACTATTTCTCTTACTTACATAAAATAAGTACGTTTTGCAGTGGAAAATCACAACTCATCAAGAAGTCCTATTTTTTGTTTGTAACACTGTCTGTTTTCGAATTTTGCCTTTTAATTATATACTATATGCTTAATATGATGTTTTTCATCAGTGTGTCTGCTCACCTTTACCGCAACATTCAGTCACTGGTCCAGGTTTTGCAGTGATGGTTGATTGACAACACATTTCATTGACAGGGTTGTAGGGCTTCAGCCCACAGCAGTTGGACACCTTTTCACTCAGACCATGAGTAACATTGGCTATAAAATAAAGACACAAACACTAGAAGCAGTGTAACAGCTGAAAGTGTCATGTTAAGTGTTAAATGGCCCACAGCTGTTCAAAGAAAGAAATGTTGCAATAGCTCTGAATAAATGGAAACATCTAACTTAGTGATAGCAGATGAACACATACAGATGTGTGCAATGAATCCAGACATCCCATCATTACTTTATTGTTCTTTTTCTGTTCATTTGCACTCTGACAAAAAGCATGCTAATTTACAATAACAACAACAAGCACCCAAAAAGTTCAAACACAGCTATCCATAACTGGGTAATGATTTTCGTATTACAGTATCTGCCATGATTTTTTTTTTTTTACCAGAGTAGGGGGTGTATACAGTCAACTTCCAGTTTATTCAGTAAATTAAATTCTGTATTAAAAACAAATTTTAGTCTAAAGCGGTACAATTCAACTGCTTCATAAACTGCAGCCTCCAAAACAGCCAGAAAGGTGGTTAAGAGTTTTTGTACTCTTTAACTTATTTTTAATTTAGGTGCTCTTCCGGTGCTTTTCTTTATTGGCCAGTTACAAAGTCAAAATTTCAGTTTCAGTTTAGCTAGATTTCAAGTTCGTTACCTCTGAGAGTGTTTCCGTCTTGTACTTTGCAACAGGTTGCTTTTTCAGGATTGTAAGGTTTCTTTCCACAACAAGACAGACTTGCCCCTGGGTAAAGTTTGTTTCCACAGCAAGCAGCTTCTTGTGTGTTATACTTTGTGCCATTGCAGTCTTTTCTGAAAAGCACAGATAACCAAAGCCTATTATCAATGACAGTAAATTCCATAGACTTAACAGTGCATACAGAAAATTGCTATTTTACACCTTCAAACCTAGAGAGATTACTCCCTTTACCCTTTGTACTAATGCCCTCTATTGGACAACTAGGGAAATACACTAAAATGTAGCAACAGGAGCATACCCATAAGCTGTTTATAGTATTTTTAACACCTCCACCCTTGCTGTGCTGACATAAAATTTATCTGAATATGGGACATTTTAAAACCTCCCTCTACTCCAAATGTCAAAAACTGGAAGGTACTTCTTAAAATCACAGCTCAAAGTCGAAGTTCCTCAGAAATGTTTTTACATTAACTTGTCTTAGTATGTCTTCCATCACATCTTTCCAACTGGGTTAAATGTAGAAGCTCATGGGTACTGGTTTAGCTCTCTGGGATGAGCAGGTGACCGCTCGATGTATGGCTAGGAGCGGTCAGCCCAGGTTTGAATCTGACCCATGCCCCTTTACCATACATCTTCCTCACTCTTCTAATAAGGCAGTTTATCCTAGGTTATTTCCATTATAGCTTACAGGACATTTTACAATTTAAAGCTTAATGATTAAAAACAAAAAGGTTTACGTATTCTCAACTGATTCTTTGAAGATGTGAAACAGACTACCCCATCATCTTGTAATAGAAAGTGCTTTAGGTGCTCATATTGAGTAGAAAGGCACTATAGAAGTATCAGTCCATTCACCATTTTCCATTAACGCTGCCTCCTGGATGTCAACCTCCTGTGTTCTTTTAGGCGCCACTGTCTCCTTTTCTAGGCACCACATCATAGTGGGTCTCACTACCATTTTGTAAACCTTCCCTTTCACTCTTGCTGCTATTCTTCTGTCCCAAATCACACCTGACATTCATCCCACTTCCACCATGAACCTGTCACTCCTACCACACACCATTGTCTCACTGTTTCCATAGATCTTCTTCATCAGCCTCATATCTTTCTCTGGAATTCCTGATTTCTTCATACAGTATCACATTTCCTCTTGTTGCACCATTGCACTCCATCAACACTCTCAAAGCTTACATTGCTTTCATTTAGTACAAGGATACCTCTCTATTTTTCTCACATTCCTCCACAGGTATGCCATCTGAACCAACTGCCTTTCATTCTTCAGCCTCTTCATTGCTGTCTTCTCTTCCTCCTTACTAATCCATTCACAGTTCATGGTTCATTTATTTGTCATTGTAAAATACAATATACAAGGTAATTTACTGTACTACTACTTAAAAAGATGGCACTCCCTATAGTATAAATAAAAGTTCAATTCAATTTTATTTATATAGCGCCAAATCACAACCTCAACTTACCACAAGGCACTTTGCATTGTAAGGTAAAAACCCTACAATAATAAAGAGAAAATAAAGAAAACCCAACAATGATATGCCACCCTGTGAGTAAGCGCTTTGGTGACAGTGGGAAGAAAAGGTTTCCCACTGATTAAATGCAGAGTAGTGTACA